CTTATCAGCCAATATCATTCCCTGTCACCCACCAATGATGTTCCTGTCCCACAGCCTATATCATATCTCGGAACTAACGTCCCACTGCTGCTGCGACCCGCACTATGGACTGGGTGACCATCCCCTTTGGACGCCCCTTATCAGATCTTATCAGCTGATAACACTTCCTACCACCCACCAATGGTGTTCCCGTCACACCCCCTCCATCACTTCCTGGAACCAAAGTCTCACTGCTACTGGTACAGGTGTTATGAATCAATCTAAAAAGAGTAATTTGATCTGAAGGGTGGTGAATTTGGTTTGAAAAGTGGTGAATTTAAAGTGAAAATATATACGCGATGCACTCCATCAAGGTTACTGCTTCAGCCACAGTCGTTCGAAGGCGATGTTTGGAGTCCTAATGCTCGATACTGTGAAAGTAAACTCAACATGTAACCGACCTTTGTAGCAGAAAGGTCCACAACTGACGTTATTCAGTTGTGGACCCTCCAGGCCACAAAGTTGTGGACATTTTGAACAAGGGGATTCATTTTGGCTCTTTGTGCACGTGTACAGAGCTGTAAATGTCGCACGCAAGTCACTAATTGTATTACTGGGTCCTTATAAGGTGCATGCTAATTTACAGAGAAAGTGTAAGATATACCTTATTCACAAGTGACTAAAGCTACAATCTAGTTCGCTGCGGACGGTTGGGCGTGTCAGCCAGTGTGTGTGTCACCCCGTCAAAGCCGTTCTCTGCCTTCTTGTTGAAACGCGCATGCGACAAAAAGTGGTAGAAAACGAGTAATACGAAGGATATGATACAGTATTGTCACTTGCCCGCTTCAACAACTGGTGGAGAACGAGTTTGGCACCGCGCCTAAATTCATTCAATTCAGCACATTTGCTGGTTTGTAAACTCTAGTCGGTGGGTAGATAGTGCAGTGCTTCTGGTCACCCTTCGGCTGCAAATGAAAGATAAGGCGGCACTCCAGTGTGTTCGTTCTTTTTTTGCTCCTTTTGACTGGCGGCAATCTCTACTTCTCTCCATTAGAAGTATTTGGGGAAGTCTTTAGATTTGTTTATGGCAATTCGCACGCAAGTTTTTATCCTCGAACTTCAATAAATCCTCCATACGAATTCCTTTGCGCCATAATAACGTAATTAGTAAGTTGCTCACTGTTTTTACCTGGATGATCCTTCTTGATGCGTTCTTCCAGTCTTTCGAAACTTCGTAAGCGATAAAGACGCTAACTCCTCTCACTTTACTAACATCAATCATCAAGGACGTTAAATTCAAAATTTCCAGTCGCCATTTATCGTCTCCATCCACCATCGGCCACACACCATAACTCTATGGAAAATCACTGAGCCCAACAACTCTTCGGAAAGGCTTGCAGAAATCATGCCTTAATGGTCTGCAGAAGCTGTTTGGGCCCGATCCTGTTAACTTCCTTTTGGTCCATACATTTGTGGTATATAGACTTCAGGGCATTCATGGATTTCGAAGCGAAGATCTCTGGCGACTCAAGTGCATCTGAATCTGACTATTAATTATTGAGCAGTACAAGAACTTTGCTAAAACCCTATATTACTGGCTACGAGTTATAGTACCTTAAATCGTGCATCGAGCTGATTTTTTTCGAAAAACTGGGCACTATTTTCTCAGTATCGCGGAGGCACGAAAACAAATGGTACCGTTGAACCTAATATATGTGTGCGTAACTACCAGCCCCGAGCTGTCGAAGCATGTTCTTCACTCCTAGCCTTTGTTATCTTCAACATCTTTAATTCGAATTTTGCAGCATTGGTATCGATCAAGAATCAAAAGTTTTGGAACTTTCAAAAAACTCTATCAAAACTTTTTGATCAACCTAATATGAACGGGTTCGTGGGTCTGCACCGCATGTTGCATGTCAGGCGGAGTATGGAAGAATTAGCGTGTCTCACGGTCCTGGATCTCCATTCCTGCGCATGCTCGGACTGGGCTTTGACAGCTGGGTCTGATAGTCACGCACACTCAAACAATGTGCGATCGTACCATGTGTCTTTTAGTACTTATGTGGACTTTACCTCTCATCTGCTTTCGGACCTTATCCGATAGTACGTGTGCTTGTGTGCGATAAGATTCGTCGCTAGGAATCGGATGAGCGGCGATCCAGTTGCCACAAGTGAACTCGAAAAAATCCACGCATGGATCAACCTGAACTTTTCTGTTGCGTACAAATGATTTTAGTTGATCACATGTTAGTACCCCGAGAACCCGAGAAAACTGTCACACCGCACTAGTTTATTGGTGTATAAAGCCGGCCAGCCCTTGTTCGCAGTAGTGTGTTCTGACCACGCCATCACCTTGATGAAGCACAAGATGATATTGAAGGCGATTCTCCACGGTCAAAGACTTAAGCGGCAGCAGCGGCGATCGCCGGTATGCAACCAGGGCCCTTAGCGCTATTACTTGAAACACTTCGAACACTTGTGAGGGAGATGGGCTTGATGTAGTGCTTTTTTTCTTCTAGCTGCAATTATTCTGCAATAAAAAGCCTGTTTCGACTTAACGAAAAGTGAAACCAGATTGTTGACATTTCTTTTCTATTTTCTTTTTCAACTTAAGGCAAAGATGGGAAATATCGTGAAAGCATCATTTTTGTTTAGCTTTCTTGATGTTCCTATTTTCATTTCTTGAGCTTATGTATGCAGTATGAATACTTCTCCTTCTTGATGTTGTGTTGTAGGTGTTTCAGATTGAGCCATAGAAGATTCCTGAGACACGTATACCAGTTGAAACAATCAATAGAAGTAAAAGAAACTCACATAAAGGGAAAAAGGTAATGCCCCATTCACCATGTTCCAGATCCTCTTGATACAAGATATAGATACATTATTAAGAAGACAAAGGTACACGAAAGCTGGGAATCACATATGTAAGGCGTGTGGTCCGGGTTATAGCGTAGGGGCTCACTCCATCGCATACCCGCCATCGCAGCTATCTCCACCGATTGCCGCTATTATCGCGAAGTATTAACGCTGACTGACTTTAAGCGCTTGAGCACATCACAAATCGCTTGCTATATGCCACGCTTGTTAAAATGAAGGTTTATCAGTAATTCACACCGCTTACAGAAGACCAGCAAAGGTGCTGTATGAAGTGAAGCTGCAGCCTTGCTCGTATTTTTATCCAGATTTCTTTGCGGCACATTTTTGTAAGTTCGCGTCCAGAGGACGTGGTTTAGTGGCAGGCTGGCACGCTATTCGGATAAGTCAAACTGCGGTTCCAGCAAGACAAGTCTCCATTTTTTTTTCTTTTTTTTTTTTCAGGGGACCGTGCACTGCTACCAGATTCATGTGGAAGGGCGGAAACTCTGACTTGCTCATCGACTGCTCCGCATGCTATTGCGTAGGCCTCGTAACAACAAGAACTACACTACGATTCTGAACGGAAGTGTAATGCCGCGTGCCGAAGTGAGGATGATTGGCGAAAACTTTATCTATTATTGTCCATCTGTTATGATCTATTCTAGTGTATTCTAGTCTGTATTGACTTTTCAATTGTTATCTTTTTATCGTCACTTTATCTCAACCTTAAATTGGGATAGGCGGCCCTTTGATTAGAACGTATTTCTTAGCTTTTGTTGAAGAAAAACGGTGCGATTACTGCTTACCGAGAAAGTTGATGACTTCTGTGTCTCTGAGCATTTCTGATGCGAGTTTGTATCCCGGACTTTCTGATGAGTCTTGCTTGTCGCTTTCGGTTACTCCAGGAGAGTCGAAACATAGAATAGTCACCACAGCCAACCACGAGCGCATCTCCTGCATCTTTTCATATGATGATCGACGATACGATCTACTAATATAATCGGCGATGTCCGTGTGTGTGTGTGTGTGTGTGCGTCTGTCTGTCTGTCACGAAATTCATAGCACGCTGAAGAAGAGCCTGGCGGGGCTGGGTAGGGTGGGGAATGGATAGGTGCAGTGGACAGCGAACCTAAATAGCACGCATGACGTCTGTAAGCCGCACAGTGGGCGGGGCGTGCGTCCAAAAGATTAGCGATAGTCCTGAATAAAGGTATAACCGATTCCATGAGCAGTTCCCGTGAATGAGGAAACGGTGCAGTGAAGTTTAACAAAGGCCTGACCACCAACTGGAGACACCACCGAAGATGGGCCGCCGGGCGGTTCTTGAGTGGGGCGACGCTTCCCGTGGTCACTTAAAAAAAGCTATAACTCGCTAACAAAGGAAACCCGGAGATGGGAAAAAGTAGAATAAGGCTAGCATTGGGTTGGCGGAGCAAATAAAGGAAACACACCCGAAATGGGCGGGGCGTGCTTGAGATGGGCGGCGCTTTCCATAAAGGTAGGTAACTCGGTTCCCGAACATGTTTAGAGGTCTCGGCAGAAAACTTCCATGACGAAGCTGACATCTGTCAAAGAGAGTCTAAAACCACCATGGTTTCGAAGTATAAGGCCGCCCACAGTGGGCGGGGGTGCGATTTGACCCGAGGACCATTGTAAAAAACCGTAATTTGGTGCTAAAGCACTACAGATGGCGCAAAAAAAGTGGATTATGGCCCCCAACTGATCACATGCAGGAATGTGCGAGGCACTCCCGCTGTGGGCGGAGCGTGCCCCAAAGTGGGTGGAGCCAAATTTAAAAAGAAACAGTAAAAAATTTTTTTTTTTTTTAAAAAATCGCAAAACGGTTCCAGAGCACTCCAGACACCGGGAAAAAGTAGTTTAAGGTCATCGAGGGGTCATAAGTTGAGAAGCGCGAGGCATTCGTTGTGGGCGGGGCGTGCCCCAAGGTGGGTGGAGCCAAACTTAAAAAAATTCGCAAAACGGTTCGCGTATGGGCCAGACACCAGGAAAAAGTAGTTTGAGGTCATTCGAGGGGTCATTGGTTGAGAAGCGCGAGGCATTCGTTGTGGGCGGAGCCTGCCCCAAGGTGGGTGGAGCCAAACTTAAAAAATTCGCAAAACGCCTTCATGAGACTCAGAACTTCCAGAGACTCTAGACACCGGGAAAAAGTAGTTTAAGGTCATCGAGGGGTCATAAGTTGAGAAGCGCGAGGCATTCGTTGTGGGCGGAGCCTGCCCCAAGGTGGGTGGAGCCAAACTTAAAAAATTCGCAAAACGCTTCCAGAGCCCTCTAGACACCGGGAAAAAGTAGTTTAAGGTCATCGAGGGGTCATTGGTTGAGAAGTGCGAGGCATACATTGTGGGCGGGGCGTGCCCCAAAATGGGTGGAGCCAAATTTTAAAAAATTCAAAAACGTTGTTTCCAGACAATATCCAGCACTGGAAAAAGTAGTTTGATTTAATATTTTAATTTTTGTTATTGTTACCAGGCCATCGAGGGGGTCACCGGTTCACAAGTGTCAGGGATACCTGTCGTGTGTGGAGCGTGCGTCAAGGTGAGCGGGACCAGCCTTAAAAACTCCTCAGGCGGTTCCAGAGCACTCCAGGCCTCTATGTGATACGGCCCGGCTTTGCGTGGCGGCGCGCTTACCTGCATTCGTATGATCAAATGCTCGACTAATACCCGGCATTTCTCTCATCTGTCCACTTGATCAACGCTCCTTACCCCCACTCCATACACCGTAGTAGGGTTGAAAGTAGCAGGTATGATGCTATTGGTCAAGGAATGTTGACCACCTGTTCAGGTTAAAGAAAAGCCTGATATTAGGTGGCTAATGAAATGAGTGGAATAAGGCAAGCGCAGTGGAGCCGCGCCTGCTCGGCGAAGCCGTGCTGCATCTCAGAAGGAGGCGCGCCGGTGTCAGCCGGCGAAGCCGGCTGGTTATTAAAAAGAGAAAGGCAGCACGAACAATTTGGCTTGGTAGAAATAATGCTGACCACTCTTGCAGTCTCTTTCGAGAACGGACTTATAGAGGGCTTTCTTGATTGAGAATGGGTTTTCTTTTGTTCAACGAGAGCTAACGGGGTAGTCGTTGATGATTGAGATGAGCTGCCTCTTTTTCTGAGAACTATTCTATCTCACTTTTCTAGAAGTACTGCAGGTGCGTTGGGAAGTATGCGAGCTGCCATCCATTATTTTTTTTCTTCTTTGAGTCATACACTTGGTACCTATACAGGTGGCAATCAGAGGCTACAAGTGGTGAAGATTTAGTTTAATCGGTGAGTGGAAGCAGTGCTTCGTCTCCCAGCCAGCATCCATAGCTTTTAGATGTTGTCGTGCCGGAGGCGGCTTTTCCTCATCCCCTGGCGTACTACCAGGTCGTCAGGCCCCTCTGGCCTAGCATCGGTGTCTGGATGGGGATGGATCTGCAAACCTCGTGGAATTCATCCGAGATAAGCCCAGTTTGTTTTTCTTCTAGAACAGTTCATTCCGAGTGGCAAATGGCTCTGAACCCTGGTATTCAAAACCATTAATCGTATACCTCCTCCTTGCAAACGATATGTTTCATACTACAACGATCTCAAAGGGTTGCATGTCTTGGTGGAACATTACAGCAAAGCCAAAAGCAAACAGCACCATAAATGAGAAACAGGGGATGTTTATTTGAGGAGGATTCTTTGAGCTTTGAATAGGTTGGAATACTGTTGTTCCATACAGGGCCTAAACTACTTGCTGAGAGGTGGAGCGTTACTTCTGAAATGATTGTCCCCATCGCGCGGTGCAATCTTGATTAGATTGTCGAGTCGACGCACCCCAAAACCACTACGTTGAGTGGACTCGGTCCGGGCGCGAAGACGCTTGTGTCACCCACTTGTAAAGGCATATGTGCCGCACTCTATGAGACTTGGAAGTAACGCTACACACGCGGAAACTTAGGCATTTCTTGAGGGAGATATCTCTCTATAATTTCTGGCTCATGATCAACAAAAGTAGTATTCTCTCAGTGTTAAAGTATGCTATACCAAACATGCAATAGTGTTTTTGGATAGTAAGACGTCAGGAAAGCAACGTACTGGGATTTTTTCCAGTACCCCTCTTCGAATAGATCAGGAGTAGCGCATTTTGCACTCGGCGGTCTCGCCTGCTAGATCACTCATGAAGTACGTAGTCACCAAATTCGCTAAAGACTTGCAAAAAAGATTATTTAACATCCTGAATATGAATATGACATTCATTCTAGGGGCTGGCGTAATGGATACTACGATCATCCGAGTCTGCTAAGGGTGAGCTGAGAAGGTGAACGTAGTGCGAACTCCAATGTCATATTCCTACTAAGCCTCTTAAAGCACTCTCTAGGCTATATCTCTCGAATGTGTAAGACGACACGGAAGGCGATCCTAGAGGCTGTGCTACCTTCAAAAAGTGAAAATCGGCAAGAACTCCACTGAAAGCTGACCAATCAGGCCTATTGGCACTCCTTATATTAGGCCCCTAATGGCTACTAGCTAGTAGCCACTATGCTATCCTCTCTCTCCATCCCGAGTGGTGAGAGTGAGGTGGTAAGATAGAAGTCCTTACATTTGACGTGAGGAGGTTTGTATCAAGAACACGCGTTTTCTCCATTGCATGCGCGTACACGTTTAGGTAGGCCAGAGTCCTACTTCGGGCATTTTGGACTGTTTTTTCTGCTTCCTCTTCCCAATAATAAAATACCTAGCACTTTTCGTTCGCATGTGAGCTCCGTTTTCCGTCATCTGTGGTGGCAGGTTTTCCTTTGAATAATTCCTGTGTACAGGGTTCCAGCGGATTTGGTGATTTGGGCACTTCCGTAAATGACCTCGAGACCAAAACTGTGCGTGTCCGCCGTGTCACGCCTTCTGCGTCACTTTCACACTATCGCATCCGAAGCTTGATCTGCGAAAAAAGTTTCCTCTGAAGGATGTGAACGAGGAAAACTTTCGTTCCTCCGTGTCCTCTTCCTTCCCTCCTGTGAGGAACGTTACTTCCACTTCCATTGCGCGCACCAATAGAGTATTCTCAGGCTGGTTGGCCAAACAGGTATACGCACAGAGCTATACGACTTCAAAGGACCCAGAGAGAGAGTCGAGAATATAGTTACATCACAACGTTGCCACCCTGAGTGGATTGGGTCGTGGTGCGAATGAAGCGTGCATCAGCATGCTTTCAGTGCTTCTGCCGCACTCCCGCGTCTTGGAGGTAGCGCTCAACAAGGGCACTTTCTCTTTGCTGGTTCTCAAGAAACGATGCTCACTGCACCACGATTTTTTCATGCATCCTGGAACATTCATTGCCTGAAAAGCAATCTCACTCCCTTGCCGTGCACATAGCAGTATGGGAATCTGTTCTTAACTCTTACAGCGAAGAAGTAGTTTTTTTCACTGAATTCTCAAAAACCCGTTGGGCTAACTACTTGCCACGAAACGTCATATTTAGAGGTCATCTTTCTGTGTATCTTACTCAAGTTCAGGAACTACGGATTACATTGTCCGGCCCTTATATGAAACGTCGGCTAACCGGTGCGCATACTTTTGGGATACGGACCACCGTGTGGATGCGGCTTGACTGCACGTGATTTTCTCTCATGTTTGGATACTAAGCTGATATACCTTTAACATCATCAATGCTCATGGGACGGTGGTAAAGAGCGTTGATCAAGAGAATAGATGAGAAAAAAGAAATTTTTAGAGCACGCAATCTACTTAAATAGGCAGAGGCCTTCTCTTCAGATCTTGTTCGTGGCCCTGATGTATACATCCCATCTTGAACCGACCTCTCCATAACACCGAAGTTCTCGGACAAGCAAGTAAGCAACAACTAAACCCAGCGACGTATATACTGGGTAGTTCTCGGTTCAATTGACCATAAAGAGAGTTCAATATTGAGCTTGTAGTTTTTGTCGTGGTCTTCTTCTTGAGTCGAATGTCGATGCCAGGTCTCTTT